CTGCATACAAGCCTTAAGGCGTGGAATTAAACGTGTTAGATGACTTCGTATGGTGCTACGGGGCGTATGCGTTACATACGCAGCTATGAGTATATGAGCATGAGTGGCAATTTTTTTTTTTTTACTTTTTTTTCTAGTATAACTGTTTTAAGTCTTAATTTAAATTCAGTTTTGCGATGAAATCTTGTTCTTTATACAAAACTGAAGATAATGTATTTTCTAAGATAGGTGTACAACGTTTTTCGTGAGATTTGCTAATACACGAAAATGTTCAAAATGAAAAGAGAAATCGATTAAACCATGTCTCGAGCAAAAATTACGATATCTCAACCAAATTTGGTACATACATAGGTTGCGCTTTACCTAAGGTAGGTTGGTATTGGAAATGGGCTAAATTAGACAATAACGACGGCCACCCTCCATATAACGGTATTTTTGAAAAATGCTAAGCTATGATATTTCCGTAAATACTGGATCCAAATTGCTAAAAATTGGAGAGTGAAATTTTTTGAAAATGGGCGTTACATCGCCTCCTTTTGAGGAAATGTTGTATAGTAGTAGACGCTTTACCAATTCCCACCAAACTCGGTACGAACATTCCGTTGAAATTTTCCCACTTCTCATTTAACGGTAATTTACATAAATACAAAAAAATCTGTCATGTCCGATATGTCACATCCAGTATCACATTATAATTCAAAATAAAACCAGAACGAATTGCTTCTGATTAAATATGAATTTGGTGTAATGGCTCGTAATTTGACTGTATATAAAAAATGTTTAAGAAAGGAAAACCTCACTCTTTTCCGAACAACAGTGTTCTAAGCACACCTACTTTTTTTGTGAAATCAAATTCTAAAGTCATACGAATGTCATGTCCGACATCGTGGAAACACCCATATGTACGTATGTGTGTGTGTCTCGGTAACTGAATTATCAATTTTTACCACATTTAGAGCAGTTATTGCCTTAGTGCAATAAAAACAATGTGTTGAAAAGTATTGAAATACGAAAACTCTGATGTTTCAATAACTAAAGACGAGAATTTTTATCAAATCAAATTTTTTTTTCAAATTCTCAAAGAAATACTCATATAAATACATACATATGTATATATTTTCGCGCACACTTTATTTTTCAATGACGGTAAAGAATTTAAAATTAAATGAACTGAAAAATTGCCAGTAAGAAAATAAAAGGAAAAGCACACAGCCAGCTGTGGTTCCATGTGCGCAAGAAGAAAAAAATATTTGTATACATACACAATAGGGATGTTAATCCCGAGATTCCGGGAACCCAGACTTTTTTAAGTCCGGAAAATCGCGGGCTTATTTGGCCGGCATTTTCGGGATTTGTAATTTGCAATGGATTTGTAATTTGCAATGGTGACAATAATACAATACCTTATGTTGACCAGTTTTCGCCATATTTCTATTATTTATTTAATATTTCTTTTATATATGTCTAGCTAATTATACATAAACATAACAACGTGCGACAGGCAATTTTACACACAAAAAATCTGGGCCAAATATATGCAGTAGCTTTTCTCGCTGACAATAGGATTTTTTAAAAGGACTTTGATAAAATTGAATAATATCAGATAATGGTTTAAAAAATTTAGTGCAATGTACTTAGAAAAACAGTATGGGTATTAAATAAAGGAGAAAAGTCTGTAATGAAAGAACAGATTTAATTGTTTGGTGAATAAGGTATTGAAAATGTCCTTAAAAATTGTATCCTTGATTATCCTTGAAACTTTGCAATATTTATTTAAAAAAATATATATGTTAAGGACAAATATAAACTCGACAACGCTCTCAAATATAGTCCTTCTAACTTTATTAAAAATAAAATTGATTAAAAGGGTGATTTCATTGCCTTCCGTCCTTTTGAACCCAAAAATTTTTAATTTTTTAAATCCTGCACAATTTTCTCTTTCATTTGGTACCCATTTTTATTCTACATTGCACTGAATTTTTTGAATAATCTTTAGAATTTATCATCTCTTTGAAATCATAAAGTTCTAATAAAAAAAATTCTAAAACTAAAAACGCAGTTTGACTATATTTGGCCCATGGTGTCGTGAGTATATTGATTGCTTGGTGTGTTTTGAAATTTTTTTGTTTCAAACTGTTTCAATCAAGTATATTACAGGAGAATAAAGTGCAAGCTTCAAGTGTCTAAAAGTAACGTTGACTTTTTTGTAATTTTTTTTTCTGGCGGTGCCACGCATTTTCATCCACTCAAATTATGTTCGACAATTTGTTTATATGAAAGAAAATGCCCAGCATCGTTTAAAAAGTTTCCAAAAATCAACGGTATTTGTACTTTAAATTAATGGGATATGAAACTGCGTACCTCAAATTTTTCTAAAAATGCTGAGAAAAAAGTTTGAAATTTGAGCAAATTTGTTGTTGCATTTATAGGTAGACTTTTATAAAAATTTTAAATATTAAATAAAGAAAATAAATATAGGCAAAACTGGTTGAAATAAGGCGTTTCTTTTATTTCTGCCACAAGTATTATGAACTTCTTTCAGCCACACAATACATATCGCACACCGTCTTCAAAAGAGTCACAACTCAAAATTTGGCATTTTTGAGATTATGCGCTAAAAATGTACGCAGAACTTTTATTTACCTTTCAGCAAAATCTGGAAAAATATTTTCGCATATGTGGACTTGAGGTTTTTTTGTATCGATCGATTTTATTAACGATGTCCCGAAAATCCCGTGATCGCAAAAATCGAAAAAATTAACATCCCTAATACACACATATGTATGTATGTACATATGTACAAAGTTATGCACATATGTATGTATATCCTGCAGGAAAATCCAATAGAACTGTGGCGCTTGCAATGAGTTGTAATCATCAACAATTTTTTATCCACCATAAGAAGCAGAAGAAAAATTTTGCACCACTTTGATGCTCTGAGGCGTATTTTGAAATGAATTTTCGTCAAACCAAATTTAACAAGGGATACCGAAAATCTGTACAAAATACATCATGCGTTTATCCTATCGGCACAAACAACAAATACAAAGTAGAGCCGTTTAAGGCATTTTCCAAACGTTGCAGTTGAATTGTATTACATACTCCAGTTTTCTCCTAAGGGCTGTTTTGCACGCAATACATAGTTGTTGCGAAAGTAATCCTTATTATCTCTCATATTCTAAAATTCAAACACAAGGCTGAAGAAGTATCCTTTAATCGTGAGCAGTTTACAAAATATAGTGTTGTCCCAGCGCTTGAAACAATACAATAAAGGGGATTTGAGGTGAAGTGGGTTTAGGGGAGTTGAGTTAAGTAAAGTTGAGGTGAGTTAAAGTGAGGTGAGTTGAGTTGAGATGAGGTGAGGTGAGGTAAGTTAAGGTGAATCGAAGTGAGGTGAGTTGAGTTGGGAGCACATTTTACCCTACATATTTACATACATATAAGATGCATCTTCTGCGGTGTAAGCCCCAAACTAAAGGCTGAAGGTTGTATGCTGCAGTACCAGCATAAATAAGAAAAAGTCACATTTTATGAAAGAATGACTTTCTCAACAGGGTTTATATGGTGCTATTTAACTATACATGCATACACTTGCATATGTACATACATCCAGGCGCTATGAAACTTATCTGTCGCTTAGACAACACAGAGTTACCAAAAAATAAATAAATAAAGCAACACTCTTTTTCAAACTGAAATCAAGACAAAGGTAGTAAAAATTGGATTTGAGAATACAAACAAAAACCGCAGTGCTGCCATCGGCAGTGAATTTGGTCAATATGGCAGCCTAGAGCAAGGTTGTGGCAGACCGCAGTGACGCGATTATTGTTGTCAGCTTGGCAGGCAACATTGCGGAGGTAATAAGTACATTAGGATGCCTCCGCAAAAGAATAAGCGGTTTCTCCAAGCGAATCATAAATGTATGATTAGAATACTGTTTTGACTAAACACCAAGTTTTGAAGATTCCTCTAAAAAGGGCGTCATTCGTAAATGAATGATTTGCAAAAATTTTCAAGTTTCTAACTACACTGAGATGAGTCAAGGTTGAGATCTCAAAAATTGGCAACGCGCTCTAGCTCGGAAAGTAAATATTCACCTCGGAACCTCGGAGGCTGCAACTGCAATAATTTTTAATGAAACATTGGGTTTTTTCTTTTAAAGATACATATTTTCAAAAGGGCTTCGGAGGGGAGCAAAGGAGCAAGGAGCAGCGGAGCTGGAGCAAAGAGCTAAGAAATTAATTTGCTAATTAAAGAAACATTTTCAATATTTTGTTTTTGTTACTTTCTGGCCTTAGCAACGATTTATTTTAATTGTTGTTTTTCCAAAAAAAAATTTCAATTAAACCGGCCTCAAGCTCAATAAAAAAATCTTCAGTTAATAAACTTGCTTAAATTATTATTTCTTTAGCACTAAAAACCACCGTAAGTTTTTATTGGGGCGGAAGTGGAGCTGGGAGCGAAATAAAATACCGTTGATCTGAAGCCGAGATCAACAAAGCACGCCAGTCGTTTCTTTTCTCTGCGAACTGACGCCAATTGGGAATGCCAAGTGAAGCCACGTCCTTCTCCACCTGGTCTTTCCATCGCAGTGGGGGCCTCCCTTATCCTCTACTACCACCAGCGGGTTCCGAGTTGAATACTTTCAGAGCTGGAGCGCCGATGTCCATCCGAAGCCCTACTTTATATATGTATTTATGTATGTGCCCCAGAGGTGTGAGGCAGTCTAATGTTCAGATGTATATATATATATATATATATATATATATATGGATGTATGTACATACATACATATGTACACGCATAATTGTATTGATTGATACAGTGCCTGTATTTCTATAGCTCCCTGCAATTTTGTATCCTTTCCTCCCTCCGCTCACTTATTGTTGCCACCAGGACATGACTTGTCAATGGGTAAAGCCATAAAAAGCACACCCGAGTGAGCACAAAATGAACGGCAGCCTGCAGCAGCAGTAAGTAGCAGTAAACAACAAGAAACAAGCAACAAGCAACATGTTTGTGACTATAAATTGACTTGGCAAAGTGTCGAAGCTTTTCAATTGTTCGTCATCAGCTGAAAGAGTGACACCTGTTGAGTGCCATAAACAGAAGGATATACATGCATACTTACTTAGTGGCATACCATCAGTAATACTTCCGAATGTATAATTTGCTAAACTAAATTCTGTGTTTCTCATTTAATTAGTGATTTGCGGTTTTGTCCTGAGGGTCACTAATCGGTGGATCTTTCGTCAAGCATATGGCAGCTCCTGCCACACGTAATACTGAAAATTCAATTAAAATGCTCGTTGGCAATTAGTGCATGTGTAAATACATAATATATACGCACACACATATATTATTCGGTACGCGTTGTGTGTGTGTATGTGTAGGCATTTAGAGCAAATCAAGTTATCCGTATCCTTATTAAACGGGGATTAAAAGTTCATCCAACCGTTGCGTACATAAAATAATAGGTATGTCTGAACAAAAACCTGGCGATATTACGGACGCTCGGATGCATTCAAGTGTTGTGCGCACAGCATCCGAGCTAAATGCAGCTAGTGGCAAAAGACGCTCTTCTACACCGAATTTCGGAAATACAAATCGTTGTATTATTGCTGTAATCGTCTACTTCGCGTTGCTGTTGGATAATGTTTTGTTAACTGTAATTGGTATGCTATCAAAGTGTATTGTTTTAATTGAGAATGGAAAGAGAATATTGAGTTGATTCTACTTTTATCAAATTAATGTATTCATATCAAATGAAACAGGAGAAAACTTGGTACAATTATATATATAAAAATATATACCCCCGTCAAGTTAGACATTCAAGGTTACAATAATTCGCATATTCGCGTTGCAAATACCATCGATCTTACGTCTGAAAAAAAAATGTATTCAAGGTCAAAGGTCACATAAATTAATTTTTTGCATTTTTCAGCAAAAGGTTTATCACAAAATCTACACTTTTGAGATTATGCAATTACCTGTGAAAACTGTTATAAAATTTTTCCTTCTAAAAATTACCATTTCTAAGATAGTACGATTCAAAAAATTGTGGTCTCCATAATATACACAATTTACACTGTACTTGTGGGGTAGTATTTTTGGTATCTTTTTTAACGTGTTCTTCCCGGTAGGCCTACTCCACGACTTATTGTAGTCGAGTATATAATATTACATGCAATAAAAATAGTGCCATTGGAAGTGATCAAATCGTAGTGAATTAAAAATAGTTAGAGAAAACTATAGATCAATTTCAGAGGTCACCAAACTTATTTTTCTCGTATACACCTTTCAAAACTTTACTGAGAGATGTGAAAAGTGCACTCACTTAATTTCAATAGCTGGCAAATTTTAAATTTATTTTTACAATAGTGGAGCTTTTTAAATTTACTTTCTTCTACACACACGATATTTTCCAACCGGATTGGTAGTTTAGGAGCTAATCATTGATTCAACAATTCTACTTAATTAAAAAAAAATTAAAATAAGAGTTACTTGCGTTAAAAATATCAATGTGGAAGAACCTGTTAACTTTTGGATTCTTGCACGTCAAAGCATGATCTTTCATAAATAGAATAAGGCCCTGCTCATATAAATTGAATACTTAATGTAGAAGTTGTGAGTACTTAAGTAGAGATACATACAAAAAAGTTTCTATACAAATTTATCATTTGCATATTATGGAGTACACACCTTCTACTACAATTCAGAATCGCTATACATACATATATCAGTAATGGTAATCCTTATTAAGAAAAATGTTATAACAGTTTTTATAGACAATTGTACCTATTTTTTATGATAAACCGTACAATTTGGATGAAAAATGCGAAAAAGCAATTTATGTAACCTTTGAACTTGAATATTTTTTTTTTGCAGACGTTGGATCGATGGGGGACTTTCGATATTTCATTCGTAATGGTCTTTGCAACACCCGCACCAATTTTCAGCTTTATACGAATTATTGTAAGCTTACCCCTATTTATTGAGCTAACTTGACTGGGCTAATATATGTTTCCATTAACGCATGATTTGGTTACAGTTACATAATCGGGTCATAGCTACATCCAATTTCAATCAAGTAAAAAACTTTGAAATAAGTTCCATGAAAATTTATTTACCAAAAGGAAGGAAGAAAAAGGTTTAGGTTTGCCTTGAAATAATCCCGTAACGGATAAATGATCTGGATGGAAAAGGTGTGTTGATTAAAATAACGAATGTATCAGTTGTCCAGAAAATATTTTGAGTTATTTAAGAAATATTGGCAGTTACCGCATCGCTCCAAATGCAACTGCCAGACAGAGCTTCCCTTCCGTATAAAATGTGGTCAAAAATAGAATTGTTCGCGGATGTAAAATAAAATTTGTTTCTTACTTAATTTGACGCTGAATTCAAAAATGCAATTTGTTTCTTGATAACTTTCATATTTTTACTGGAAATGCAGTTTTCCAGGATTTGTCCTGATTTAAACAAATTGTCCTGGTGTCCTAGTCTATACATAAATTGGCCTGGTTTTTTAATAAAGTCAATACGGACACCCTTTTGGTTTTTAGCAAACATTTTAACGGTTGAGTTTTCTGTCATAAGTAGTCGAAAAATCGGTTAATTTTTTTTATGTATGTTACCGCATAACTTTGGACCAAGTTAACCCATTTCGATAATTCTTTTTGCATCGGAAAGGTAGTATCTCAGAGGTGGTCCCATGCTAATATGGTTAAGATCCGATCAGTGGATCATGAGATATATGTATATATATATATTTTTTTTATATGAGAGTTGAAGTCGGTTTTTTTGCTAAAAATTACTTGTTAGTTTATTTGGTTAAAGTCTAATTTTGTATCTTCAAGCAAATGCCAAAAAAGTGGAAGTTCCTGAACAGGTACACGGCTGAGGGGCCTCACAAACTACGCAGCTGATAATTTCAGGCATTAAAATCTCTTCCGAAAGGCCTTTCTGAAAGTCATTCCTTTCTTCTTCCTGTTTTGTATGGAATGGCACAATTGAAGGAATTTATGTAAATATTTAAGGTTCAGAACAAATATGTGTGCATGTTTTATTGAGACTTAAAATGCTTATTGAATGTTATTTATAGATTGAGCTCTATTTGTAATGCTAAATAATATAAACATATACCTAGCCCCTTTCTAGGAAGCATGCAGGGAAGCACTTTTTTCAGTCCTTATTGGGTAAGTCTTTCACTTCAGACAGCCTACTTAAATTATCTTTAGGTTATGCATATACAGAGCGAGAAAAATTAGAATGAAGCGCATATGTGAAAATGTGCTAATAGTGGTAAGGCAAGTATTCAAGACCACGTTAAAAGCGCCGAACATTTTTATGAACAAGTAATTTTTAGCAAAAAAAAAACCGACTTCAACTTTCATATAAAAAAAAATATTAAAATAGATATATATATATACATATATATATCTCATGATCCACTGATCGGATCTTAACCAGATTAGTATGGGACACTACCTTTCGGATGCAAAAAGAATTATCGAAATCGGTTGACGTGGTCCAAAGTTATGCGATAACATACATACAAAAAAAAAATATTCCGACGAACTGATAACCTCCTCCTCTTTTGGAATTCGGTTAAAAAAATTCAAAATTTGAGCATTTCATTCATTGAAATTTGGGTGAACATTTTTTGCACTCTTTTTTAGTTTTCTACAAAGTTTTAAACTTGGGCTTAAATGGGTTTTGTAAGAGAATTCTTAAAAATAAATAAATTAACATAAGTGGCAAACAATATCATTTTGAAAAGAGGTTCTATATATATGACCAATACTGTATGTACCTAGGAGGTATGCAATACATCATCTCTCGTCGGCATGAGTAAACCGGAAATCTGTTTTAAAATGGCATTACTTACGGAGCACTGTTTCATTATCTTGTTTACATGTAGCCAGACAGGGAGTTTCTTGGAACGAATTCTTTAGAAGCCATCGTGATATGAAGGAGGAAGAAACTATAGCGCTTCCGTCACTGCTCGCTTCTGATCCTTTTCTGAGGAATTAGATTATTTCCGACCCATTAGACGAAATTCATTCTTACCTCCAACTGTTTTTAGAGGATTTTACCCACCTCAAACCCCTAAGCGATATCACAAAGTACATAAAGCCGACTTGTGCCCTTGATGAACGACCCAATTTTAGGATAATGTGCATTTAATTTTGCTATCAGTTCAGTACATATGTATACTGATTTAATGGTTTAGGGTGTGTTCATAAATGCATCAGACGCATTTATTTCTAAACTATAATTGATGGAAATATGTAATATGCGCAACCACGGTTAAATGCCTAATTGGAACTTAGTTGCGTAAATAAGGCATTTCCATCAGTTATAGTTTAGAAGTAAAAGAGGCTGATGCTTTGGCATCAATTAATGTACATATTTAAAACTTGTAAACTTGTGTGCAGTACATTCTTTGATATTAATTTTTTCTACATACACTTTCACTTTACTTTTCTCACTCTACAAAAAACATCCCTCATATGCACGCACATTCTTTACTTAGTGCCCATATTGCCCGATTACCTAGCGACTATAAATAACAGGACACAACACACTCCGTTGGAGACATTCAACAGTTACAATGTCACAACCGCTGCTCTCAGTGTCGGTATAGCCAATCCCCTCACATCACCGCACAATTTGGCCTATCGGTATATTGATGGCGCACACCAACCCATACAAACAATCATGACGAAGCATCCGATACCCAGCAAGTCAAACTTTACGCTGCTGCATGTCGATGATAAAGTAATACTTACGCCCGCTGAGCATAAGCAATTGCGCTACATTAACGCAGGTACTGGTGGTGGCAGCGGAGGTGGTGGGATAATGACGAAAAGCGCAATCACCGGAAATTCCACAGGCACTGCCGCCATACAAAAAGAGTTCGTTAAAGCGAATGCCAATGATGATAGTATTGCCGCCAAATCCGTCACTTCCACTACTACTGGAGCAGGCTCTGTCACTGACATCAATCATGACGGCAAAGCTACGGGCAGACGCGCAGATTCCTATGATAGCTTGACCAGTGAAAACAGTTCCATTGGGATATTGTTGTCGATGAAGGCATTGGTGCAGTTAATATTCAACCCAATCGTCGGCAACATGACTACTAAATTTGGTTATCGATTGCCGATTGTAGCAGGCACATTTCTGCTGCTCTTATCTTCAGTAGGTATGTGTAAATGTTGGAAAAGTTAATTTTGGCTCTTGAACAAATTTATTCGTTTTATATATGTAACGGTATCTCATCTTCATCTATAGTTTTTTCTGTGGGCGAGACATACATGGAGCTGTTACTTGCGCGCGCTATACAGGGTGTCGGCTCGGCTTGTATTGGCGTGTGTGGTATGAGTCTGGTGGCGCAGGTACGTATGTAGGCATATGTATATGCACCTATGTACTTTAAAGTGACATAGACTTTTTTCAAAATTTGATATGCATACTTTTTAATTAGTCATTATAATTAGTTCATTCTACACTGCTAAAGTAATGTTTTTTTTTGTTTTAATCTAAGCAACGTTGTTCCCTCTTGCCAAAAATCCCTTCCTAGATCAAGGTATAATGTGACGCGTACTAAGAATCCGTGGCCCTTTATAAGCCCGGTGGCGTGCGGAGTGCTCCGGATACCGAAGCTAATCAGCCCTACCCGATTACAGCTGATCTCCGTATGGGCACACGCCTCTATTTTTCCGCCATATTAAAAAAAAACCGCTTAACACAACCAACTCTACTTCACATAGAGCTACACCGAGCTGTTCTACGACAGAGAAGACCCACAGCGGAATGCAACTGTGTCTAAAAATACTAATTGGTTCAGGATTGGGACTCCCTTACACAAACTTAGAACGAATCGGTAGTCCTGCTGAGCAAACACGGGACGTCCAGTTTCCTTAACTAGAAAGCTTACGACACACACTATTTCGACTATTTGGAGGCAGGTTAAAAGAATAGTTAACAAGCGCGGATTTCGCTGAAATTTTACTAAAGCTCGAATTTTTCTTAGGAATAGGATATTCTGAAATATAGTATAGATGAGATAATTGCCTCCACTCTTGTGACCGGAAACACTAAATGTCATTCGATTTCGATGAAATTTAGTTTGTACTCTCTCTTTCAACAGAAAACGTTAAGTGCAAATTATGGGGAAGATTAGTGTCGTATAGCGTCTATAACTCGCAGTTTTTAACAACTGTCACGATGACCTTTTTTCACCTGCCTCCATATAGTCGAATCACAGTGTGTCCAAGAGAACAGCGTCTATTTCGGTCACTGCGGATAGACACAAGACTAGCCTTACGAGCTTCTATAAGGCCAAAGAGACCTGCTAGATTTAAAGGCACACCATATTTAAGACAACCAATAGCCCAAACTTACCGATCGTCGTCTTGCCACCTAAATGCTTATGCAGGATCAGAAGGCCTGCATGTAGGTTCTATGGTCGAAGCTAGGTCTTTAAGCGACAACGAGCAGTAGATGAAGCTTAAGTCCCGGCCCCGAAAAGAGCCAAAACATCAGTAGTCTGCACTTAATCTTTTTGTGCGTTAGCAAAAGCCCTGAATATTATAAGTTAAAATAATAGTAATAAAATGCTACGAGTTAAGCAGGAAAAATTTCAGGACATTTTGAACAAATTTCAGTCATCTCTTGTAAAATTTGATTTTGTAAAACTCGGTCTCAGCATTGAGCCACCTTCGGTGTCAAAACTAAAAGTGACACTGACACTGGTTTATCTCAAATCCCAATTTGACAAAACATAATCCCAAAATCAGGAGCTACAACAAGATTAACTACGGTTTCAGGAATGTCATGGGACTAGCGCCCATGGGATGGATTTACAATAAGTTTTTCCAAATCATGTAAAAATGTCCTCAAAAAAGAAATTTGAAATTGATATCCTTCAATATCTTTGATAAACTAAGAAAGTATGTATATTTACGAATTTCGAGTTTTACATGTGTGAGAAGTACATTTTGTCCTACGGAGGGGTGATCTCTGTACCGTCTCTTAACCAAAGTTGAAATCGGCACGATTTATTACCATCCAACAGCAATAATAGTTTAATTGTATAAATTGTTATACTCAAGGGATATGCATATAAAATTTCCAAAAAAAAAAAATGTTCCTAGACACACTAATATACATTTGAACAGTATGTTCAGCAAGAAAGGATGTGACGTTTTTGATAGTAGAATAGAAGATATTACTAGTTATAGTTATACTCTACTTTCATCATATTAAAATAGCTGACATCTTCTGCTATTCAGTTTTGCTTTGGAATTCGTTTCTGTCTCAACATTAAAAAGTGCAAACTTAAGGAAGATTTTCTAAATATTTGGAAGTTTTGGTTTTTATCAGGAGTGTCGAGAAATGGGATTTCCCTTGAATACTCCCGGCCATTTTAAAATTCGTACCGTGTCTATTGAAACATATTTAAGATAGATTATCGTTAATTTTTTAGTGATCCGAAGATCGAATTTAAACCAAATTAATATGGGACCACCTGTGAGGTAACACCCTTCGTTTAAAAGAAGAATTATAGAAATCGGTTATCGTGGTCTAAAGTTATGCGGTAACATATGTACATAAAAAAAAATATAAATTAAAATATTCCGACGAATTGATAGCCTTTCTCCTTCAAACAAGCAGCTTTTTAGCAAAAAATAACCTATTTCCATGATCCAATGATTGGATTTAAACCAAATTAGTATGGGAACATCCTTGCGTTACCACCCTTCCGATAAAAAAAAAAGAAATCGATTCAAGTGGTCCAAAGTTATGAAGTTTTTTGAAGTCGGTTAAAAAAGGTCTCCCCTTTCTTATTTTTCCGACTGAGTTGTGCTTATATGAACATCTGTGCAATGCCTTTATTTTGCATACGAATTTTCTAATTTTATTTTATATTACAGCTCTATCCGGAAGAGGACCGTCGCTCCAAAGTGATGGGCATAATTTTAGGTAGCATAGCTTTGGGAGTATTGCTTGGTTATCCATTTGGTAGCATACTTTACGATTTAATCGGAAAGTCAGCGCCGTTCATAATACTCTCTACGGTGATATTTTTAAATTTGGGTAAGTATGCAACATAAATTGCCACCAAACTTTATGTAAAGTTGAAGAAACTAACATCTTGTTAAACGGCATCTTGTCGAAATTTTTCGAAATCTCGTAACGTTTAACTATCAGTAGTAGCTAAAAAAATTAAAGCTATATTTTTTCGAAGACGAAATTAGATATCTATAGAATGAGAAGAGTTGGCTAAATAAGTGTAATGGTATTTTAAAACCTTTGAAATGGAGAATGCAGGAAAAAAAATTAACTTGACCTTTAAAATTACCTACAAAAATTGTTTTTTTTTATTAGAGCAGGCAATGGAAAATCTCATTACAACCATTTGCCGTTCGGAGGCGGCCATAAAACTGTAGATACCTCCCCATTGTGTGACAATATCACCTAAGCGATTTTCACTGAGTTCAATAAAGCATGCCACGTATTTCTCTTCTGAGCCAACTGATGCCTATTGGAGGAGCAATGTCCTTTTCCAACTGGTTTTTAATCCGACTAGTATTTCTTTAATGGAAGTGTGGTTCCACTACCCGCATATATATGTACATATATGTATATGTATGTCGATTTGTTCCCTGCAAAAAATTGTGCGACTAATCTCTAAAGAGAGTATTCCGAGATTACTCTCAATCGGGTACAATTGGGCATTAATTAGTCCCAACTAGTCTCATACGGGTACTAATGGAGATCAATTAGTCTCCACTAATCACTTATGGGTATAATTGGAGATCAATTAGTCCCCAACTCATCTCTAACGGGTACTCTTAACGATTTCATGATATGTACGCACTTAGTCAATGAAATTTCATGTGCGGCGTTGGCACACAGAGAGGTTCGAATCTCAGCTGGCGCAAATTTTAATTTTTATTTTTTAAAAGTTAATAGTCGCTTTTTATACCCATTCGGGTATAAAGGTGAACAATTAGTCTCTTCATAGGACATACACGAACAAAAGCGATCAGTTCATTCCATATAAAGAGATCAAAAGTGGTATTAGTCGCATGCTCCTTTGCGATTGCTTCCGGAGTCATCCCGGATTAGTCCCATTTTTTGCAGGGTTGTTTATATCTATACCGAGACAATCACGTAGTATTCGAGTTCACTGAAATATCCGAGTTTTCCCGAACGAACGTATTTTACGGAATGCTCTCATTGGTTTTCCATCAAATTTATGAAATTATGACTGTAAATATTAAAGTACTGCAAAATTCAACATTTTCTGTAAAAGAGTCATTTTCAAAAACTTCATGCATTGCTATGTAATGTCACCTCAAACGAGGTATTATGCCATGCCATTCCAATATACATATATCGTCGGTGATACTGCAAAACGCTTTATGTCACTTATTACCTATGTCGCTTAATTGATCTGTTATCTGTATGTAATCGCTTCTGGCAGTGAACTGGAACTTGCATGATGTGAAACATGTCGCTATTCTTTATAGTTCAACATTTTCAGGCCCTTAATAAATATTTTCTTAAGTTTTTCCTGTATACATCCTTTTTTCTTTTTAACGTTTGACACATAAGGAATGCAGCTTTTGACAATGGATCTGTCCATACAGCCTGAGGTAAGTCGTGAACATTTCAAGGGAAAACTTCAAAACTATATGTACTTGATTCTTGCTATTTATGCCTTAGCATAATTTCGCCCTTAACACATAGAACAGCATTGTTCACACTTGAAAGAATTAAGGCTATAAAAAAGTTGCGACTAGGTATAGTGAACAATAAAAGATTACCATGTATTCAATCTGCAAGGCTACAATAAATTTTAGAGTTAGAGTTATGAAGAGTTTTACATACATATATATGTACATACATACTTACATGGGTAATTTCCGAACAAAGTGTAAATGGCTGGTATTTTTCTATACTTTTTTTTGTAAGAATACGAAACTGCTTTCAGACTCTTCAAACATTATTTTTTTGCATTTTTTGTAAAATATATTCCAGAATGTGACTCTTTTAAAAGTAATCTAAAGGATTAAATAAGTTTAGAAACTGTTAGGAAAGCATACTAACCGTATAAGCATTGTACTGACTTGTAACATTAAATGCATGCTTTTTAAACATGTGCATATCACTTTGAATCTCATTTATCACATAAGCTAATGTTGAACTTTTTCTAACCTTCTTAATGACATTTTTCGTGTTTCATGTCATGTTTCTTTTTGGCAGGCAGGCTTTTTATTTAATCTTTCTTCGGCAACAATTTCCCATATATGCCATTTGAACACTTTTGAAGAGATAAGCTATTTAAATAAAAAAATCTTTTTTTTACCTAAAAGAGACATTCTGGAAATATTTAACATTTTTTGTTTTTGTTTTCTAAGAGTATTATTTCAACAATATGTAAAAACAAGGATATCACTGAAACTCCATAAGCAATAAACAGACATTGGTAATTATCTTAGTTTTAGTGTTTTTGTATAAAAAACTGTGTGACATTCAGGAAATATTTAGCCGTACTATGATAGGTTCACTTAAAAACACAAAATTATTACTTTTATTAAGTTATTTCTTATGTCATTCGATCAACAACTTCTTGTACTTCTTAACTGCAATGCACTTAGACTAGCAAAACAACTAATGTTAATATCACGGCAAAATTAAAGAAGTGGCATTCTGGAAAATTCGGAGGAACAATATTATAATAGCAAGCCACGCTTATGTTGATAAAAATTTTCAGGTAAAATTAGAATAAAACAATAAAAGTTAAGGTAGTCATTCACAAACATTGCTCCAACTTTTTTTATTATCGAATAACCTGAGCGGGGACAAATATTTTTATATGGAGTAGGTGTAATATATCAAAGAAATACCGTTCGCAAAATAAATCAAAAAGGCTTATAATAATAAAAAAAACTGCTTTGTTGGTGGTTTATTATTTGGATCGTATAATGCTGTTTTTGATATTTCGTTTTTACCACCATTCAAAAATTTAACAAGTAATTTTTAGCAAAAAAAAAACCGACTTCAAGTCTCATATAAAAAAAAAATATATATATATATATCTCATGATCCGCTGATCGTATCTTAACCAGATTAGTATGGGACCACCTCTGAGACACTACCTTTCCGATGCAAAAAGAATTATCGAAATCGGTTGACGTGGTCCAAAGTTATGCGGTAACATACATAAAAAAAAAAAAAATAAAAATATTCCGATGAACTGATTACCTCCTCCTTTTTTGGAAGTCGGTTAAAAACTAGCACTTCGTTTGGAAATTACACACATACATACATACTTAGTTCTGCTTACACACTCTTACACATACCTTAGGTTACAACAGGCGCAGATGAGGAGCAACCCAAATGGCGTCCGTTACTCGAAAGCAAAATGATACTCGCAATTGTTGTTGCTATATGGTTTTCAACCTCCACCATGGCTATATTGGAACCGTGTTTACCCATTTGGCTAATACAGAACCTTCATCCCACTAAATGGCAATTGGGTACAGTTTTCATACCAGATTCTGTTGGATATTTTATTGGCACCAATTTCTTTGGCACATTTGCATACAAATATGGGCAAGTGAAAATTTCCTGCATTGCATTATTACTTGTCGGAGTTTCAGCGTTTTTGGTGAGTAGTAAATAACACAAGCTTATAGAAATGAAAAAAAACTCGACCTGCGACAGTTTTGCTTGAATTGCAATGTACAATGTTGCGTTGAATTCGAGTACGAAATCGGAATATAAGAAAGTAGAACAGTTTTTGAAAAATACATACCCGTATAGGCAGGTTCTGCAATTCACTTCTGAGTGAATTACAATTAAAGTCGCTTTGAATTCAAATTGAATGGGGTTGAAATTAGCTCGGAAGTGGGTTGCAGAACCTGCCTGTTAGGCAAATTTCTGTTTTTGAGCTAATTAAATTTGATAATACATATGTATGTCATTTTCAAACCGGATTAGTAGTTTAGGAGCTATACATTGATTTATCAACAAGTTTGCATAATTTTTAACACAATTTCTAAAAAAAATTTACCTTCGGTACAAACATCAACATGAAGAAATCCTATTTCCTCAAGTTTCTTTCTTGGAGGTCAACTTATAATCTTCTATTAATAGAATAAAAGCCCGTATGGTCTAAATTGAATAATAAATCTAGAAGTTATGAGCCCGTAAGACAAAATACATGCAAAACGTTTTCTTAAATAATTAAAAAAAAATTAAATCATAAATTTTAATGAAACCCTTTTGTATGTAGTTCTATTTGGATAAATTTTTTATGTACCCACTAAACGAATTTTCAGGCAGCCGATAAAAACCGCTATATCGCGTTTTTTCTATAATTTTCTTATTTTAGATCCGATTTTTTGAATCTTTGTGTCGCTGAAAAGGCCTCGCTCAGTACTATAATTGGCCATCAAACAGTTTTAGCCTTCAACTTTTTTTATTTATACCTTCACTAATTTTGGAATTACTATCCCTAGATGTTTATACTATATATACTTATTTTTATACTATAAAGCTAAAGCTCTAAAAAAAAACGATTAAGTCCTTGCTAAAAAGGGCTAGGCTTTATTCAATTATAGTCCATAGCGAGGCCTTTTCGGTGACATAAAAATTCAAAAAAAAAAAACGGGTAGCAATTATGAAAGTTATAGCAAAATGCGCGATTTAGCAGTTTTTAGCGAGTGCATAAAAAAACATTTTGACACCCAAAGTTTTTTCTCGACATAAGTATTCAAATAAAACTCACACACGCTAAACTTTTTTTTTCGTGATACGCCTTAATGTACATATGTATACATGCTTTCAAAATCTTCCAACTTAATTCTGTAGATTCCAAGCGCCACCACAGTCAGCCAATTGCTCTTGCCCCATTTCGGTTTGGGTTTGAGTATTGGAGTTATTGATGCAGCGTTGGTGCCGCTACTGGCTAGTTTTGTTGATGCCACCTTAGCGCAGGAGGAACAATGCGAAAGCGATGGCATTGGCGGCGGTAACTCCATGTCCAGCTATGGCACAGTTTATGCCATACAACAGACATCTGTTAGTTTAGCCTATTGCTTAGGTAAGTAATTTGATCATATGTACGTACATTCCCTGCAAACCATTTTTCCAGAGTATTCTGAATTGTAGTGAGATTTTAAATAATTCGTAAAGATCTCAAAAGATTTTTTTTAGAATTTACTTTATTTTTCGTACAGAAATTTTTTAACGAGTTCGTGTCAACCACTTCTTACAAATTTCGTTGAAGATTCGTTAAAAAATCGTTCGAGATCTTTTGTTTGCAGGGTTGTTTTATACGTACAAATACATATCGAGCCCTAACCGCCAAAATAACGTAAGCGCCATTTTTTTCAAAATTTTCTTTTCGATGCAGAAATACATCTAGATGCCCGAGGAATATTTCTGCATCAAAAATAAACTTTTGAAAAAAATGTCGCTTACGTTATTGTGGCGGTTAGGGCTCGATATCTATACAAGTATTCTTTGGCTATTCCCACCTAATATTTCCTTAGCTCCTTTACTGGGTGGCGAGTTGGCGCAAACATTTGGTTTCTCTTGGCTAATGCGCATTGTTGGTTTCTTAAACATATGTTACGGGCCCGTATTAGTATTACTGCATCAAAAGTATAATCCCAAGGTAAATTGATAATTTTTTTTATCTAAAACTTTAGTCCAAAAATAAATAAATTTTAATTAAATTAATAGACCATACGCGAAAAGCACAATGAGTTATTGCTCAGAAACAGTGGCCATAGCACCCAGTATAAGCAACTCTACAACTCTATTGACATAGAGTAAAAATTTGCAATTGTTCGATTAACAGAAGATCGTTTGCAACGGTGGAAATTCCGGCAAACTTTGCCATCAACTTAAAACTAGGAACTAAGAAATATTGTAAATAGTTTTACGTCAGTTAAGTTGTTGTAATATGCATACACTCTTATTGTATTTATCGACTGTCCCCAAATAATTATAAATAACATTTTTGGTCTAGTTTAAACAAATCGGAGATATGTTTCTATTACAATCAAGAGTACACAACACACATTTCACATTGTTGTCTTATATGTAATAACGCGGTTGATACCGAGCTCTTTGAGCTTTATATTTAATTACATGGACATAGTTAAGCGAATAACAATACAAAGATAGCGCTGACTTGTAAATGCCGTACGGATGGATGAAGGTGCTCCAGAGAAAAGATCCTTTGACTCGGCTTCCATGGGTGGACAATAACACAATGGAAGAACAAATGCAGGAGGACCTGTTTACATTTTATGTGAAAATCCTGCGTAACTTCGTAAACGAAAGAAGAAATTTTCAAAGTTTTCAGTTCTACCAGTGCCAAATATGAGGAAGAACCAAACCACTAACGTCCATAGTAGCAGGACTCGCTCTCAATATTGTCACTAAGGTTCTTTCCGGGGTGTCAGTATACATGAATTTTAGATTCTCAAAAGGATCGATCGAACCTAAGTTTTAAAAGAATCGATCCTGCGTACTCCAAAGTAGCATTCAATCGACGTTATTTGGAATTAATGTATTAACTTGAATAAAGTCCTGCCAGCTAGTGAGATTTCTACACTAAGCACTGAAATATTACCAACATACATACATATCGTTGATGTTTTAGCGACAAGTTGCTAAACCGCCTAAATCGCCATTGTGACAAAAATGAGATTTGGTAACCTTGAACTCCAGGCATCGAGATTTATGCATAAGAATCGTAAAATCGTTTTTAAAACAACAAGTTTCCAAAATAATAGCTAGAGAATATACCGCCTATCAAGGCAATGCCTTGAAAGAAAAGGCGATTCTTCGCTCTCCTGTAAATTTTGAGAGTCGTAAGATAGGCGGTTTTGCAAAAACATCGACGATATGTACATTTAAAGAAAGTACTCGATTCTCAAAAGTACTTGATACTCCCAACACTATTGCATTTGTCGGTCCCCCAGTGTGGCTAGTGCGACTATCTAGAACTTGGAGTTGAAGCAATTTAGATTTATCTAGCATACAATAACAATGAGAACCAACGGAGGATAATTCTTGCCAAATGGTATTTCTTTGAGCTAGGTAGCCAGAGGAAAAGTGGAACCTTACTGGCAATTTCAACCTGTGATCTATACTAATTTCACCTTGCACTATTTCTATTTATGTCCTATATGCCAGCGTCGGCTATTGAAAACATGTCATATCAAAATATTTAATACCAAATTTCGACACCTCAAATAAACAACAAAATTTTCGCTCATTTCCTGACTTCAAAATTCCAAATTTTTACCTGCGATTTCCTTTTGATATTGCAAAAATAGCAATATGAGTAAAAGACCTTTAGGTAAGTTTTGAGGAATTCCAAATACAATCCCGTATCAGTAATAAACCACTTGGATGTTCTTAGGTCCCGGACCCGGCGCTTACATGCTGCCACCCACTGTCGGCTACGAAAATCACGATAACCGTAAACAGCGTCTGCCGCAGTTCTCAATGGGCACACGCGCATATAGGCACCAGAAACTAATCGGGCCAGGGCCGGGAGCCTATAATGTGGACACATTGACGCGTTACGGCGTAAGCCGTGGCAATGAATTTACGATCCAGGGTAGAACATATGTGAAAGGTAAATATCATATTCGATTCGATTTCTGAAGAGACACACCTGCTCACACATAATTTTATTTATTGCAGAAAAGAAAATTGGTCCAGGACCGGGAGCACACGATGTACATCGAAAACCATTTTTCAAGGGCACCAATGCGCCAGCCTACTCAATGTCTTGGCGAAATGCTTACAGCTTTAAGAGCTCCACTCCCGGGCCCAATGCATACGGCGTGGATGTGTCACCAATTAAACCAGGATTTCCTGCATACAGCATGTAAGTAGCATATATATATTTTTTTTAATCTCGCAAGATTTTTGCTTTCGTCTCTTTATTCATCATTCGTTGGTTATCTTTGCAAAAACAGGGGCGTGCGGCATCGTTTATCTGGCAAACCAGCTTCGCCAGGACCTGCAGCTTATGGTGCAGGAAATCTTTCCATAAAACTACCACGTAGCCCCGAGTACTCAATTTCCGGGCGTAGTCCGTACGCCTTTAAACGAATTGGTCCTGGTCCAAACTATTATGATCTAATGTATTACCGTCCTGGCAAATCGGGACAAGCATACTCATTCGGCATACGTCACAATGAATTTGCGCCACCAATGATTGTTAAGTGTGACAACATGTAATTGCAATATTGAAATGAAATCTTTTTGGTCTTTATTTTTTTACAAAACAAAATTCTGCAAATTTTCTCGTGAATATAAAACTAAATAAAAAAATGGAATCATAAAATAGCTTTCAACAAATAACATATTTCTATTTCAATTAGTCTTAAGAGGATATGGCAGTTCAAGTGCAGCGATTCATGTGAACATCCGCTGTGTCTAGAGTTCAAGTTAGATGGCTATGGGCTAAGCCACTAAACGCTATTACATTCTGCATTGGTAACATTAACGCCAGGCTAAATGGAAATACATCCACGACAACCACAACGGAAAAATTCTGTTAGTTCTAGATGCAAAAATTGCTATGCATGAACCTATTTAAAGACTTAATACGACCGCACGGCTCGTGGCAAGAAGTAGCTTTTAGGACTTCAAGGAATCTACCACGTGAGTACACAATGGGAGTCTGCTGATATTGGGCCGTATATATAAAACCTAAGCAAATGCTTTTTCGATAAATTTGCGACCTTTTATTCGATTTGTTCAAATAAATTTAAGTGAGAGGTATGGAATTTTTAGGAAATGCAATTGCTTAATTTTTATGCATACGGCTCATTGAGTCCGCGTTTGAAAACCCAACATTTGACTATATGTGCTCTGCGAATTGAAGACGTGGAGTAGGAAAAACTATCATAAGGTGGATTCCGTTAATGTTATCTAGAAGGATGCTGACTGTGCGGGGTGAGGCTAGCAGCTTAACCATGGCAGAGGTTGAGAGAGGATGCCCTCAGCTCGGGATGATCTTATCTCTCTTGTGGTGTTTGCTAGTGGACTCCCTACTAACGGAAATCCAAGACTTCGTCCATATCCATGCTTACGCAGATGATCTTCGTGCACTGTCATCAGGTAAATCTCTCAGAGAGGTTTGTGTTAAGGCACAGATAATCATGAATAAGATTGATCAATGAATGGTGCACTTTGCAGAGTCTTGTTGTGAATCCTAGCAAGACAACCCTAGTCTTGTTTACGCGGAAAAGAAAATTGGAATTTCTCAACCTTTCACTGCTTAGAGGCGAAATCCAATGTCTTTCCGTCTCTAGATACCAGAGAGCTGCATGGATACACTCAAAATGGCACCCTGAAATTGTGCATATGGAAACTGTGCATACGAAATAATGCATATGAAAAAAACCGAAATAATGCATACGAAAAAAACCGAAATAATGCATATATGCACAGTTTCGGTTGAAAACCGAAATAATGCATATTAGAAAAACCGAAATAATGCATACATGCACACTTTCGTTTGAAAACCGAAATAACGCATATGACAAAAACCGAAGTAATGCATACATGCACAGTTTCGACTCAAAACCGAAGTAATGCATATGACAAAAACCGAAATAGTGCATACATGACAACGAAATTCTTTCTGAGTAGGCGGCCTTCGGCCGCGCTTAGGGATTATAACCCTTACTAAGTAGAATTCTCCTTTCTGTGTTGCCGGAAAAGAAGGGCGGAACTATTTTTGCGCAGAACTTCTCTCTGCGTAGGCGGCCTTCGGCCGCGCTTAGGGATTATAACCCTTTCTAAGTAGAATTCTCCTTTCTGTGTTGCCGGAAAAGGGAGCCGGAAGTACTTTTGCGCAGAACTTCTTTCTGCGTAGGCGGCCTTCGGCCGCACTTAGGGATTATAACCCTTACTAAGTAGAATTATCCTTTCTGTGTTGCCGGAAAAGGGGACCGGAAGTATTTTTGCGCAGAACTTCTTTCTGCGTAGGCGGCCTTCGGCCGCGCTTAGGTATTATAACCCTCACTAAGTAGAATTCTCCTTTCTGTGTTGCCGCAATAGGGGACCGGAAGTATTTTTGCGCAGAACTTCTTTCTGCGTAGGAGGCCTTCGGCCGCACTTAGGGATTATAACCCTTACTAAGTAGAATTCTCCTTTCTGTGTTGCCGGAAAAGGGTGCCGGAAGAATTTTTGCGCAGAACTTCTCTCTGCGTAGGCGGCCTTCGGCCGCGCTTAGGGATTATAACCCTTACTAAGTAGAATTCTCCTTTCTGTGTTGCCGGAAAAGGGGGCCGGAAGTACTTTTGTGCAGAACTTCTTTCTGCGTAGGCGGCCTTCGGCCGCGCTTAGGGATTAAAACCCTTACTAAGTAGAAGTAAATAATTCATATTAGAAAAAACGAAATTATCCATATGCACACTTTCGTTAGAAAACCGAAATAATGCATATAACAAAAACCGAAATAATGCGTGCATGCACAATTTCAGTTCAAAACCGAAATAATGCATATGGCAAAAACCGAAATAAAGCATACATGCACAGTTTCGGATGAAAACCGAAATAATGCATATGTGAAAGACGAAGGTATGCATACATGCACAGTTTCGGTTGAAAACCGAAATAATGCATATAACAAAAACCGAAATAATGCATGCATGCACAGTTTCGGTTGAAAACCGAAATAATGCATATGAGAAAATACCGAAATTATGCATATGCATACTTTCGTTTTAAAAGCGAAATAATGCATATGAAAAAAACGAAGTAATGCATACATGCACAGTTTCGGTTGAAACCGAAATAATGTCTAAATGCACAGTTTCCATATGCGCAATTTCGGTGCCCCACTCAAAATACATTTTAAGTCACTCGCTTTTCACATCTGCACACACTCGCACTCATTTATTTCGAAACATAACGTGCGATAGCATTGATAAAACATTGTCAATTGAGTGAGTAATTCACACTATCAAGCATGATAAAAATATAAGCCGTCATCGATTCGCCACTTCTCGCTCGCTATGTTTGAGTTCTGGTCGCTTAAAGAAGAATTTTGCATGTGAAAGCAACAACAAAGTTAGCTAGCACGGATAGACGATAGCGAGTTTGGTTGTACTTCATTGAGTTCGTTCGTTTCGCCACTCGCTAACTGTTGGCGAATCGATGACGGCTATAGTAAGGTAGAACCGCTGAGAGTCACTTTTAAAATTCTTGACGTTTCCAAACAATTTAATTTTTAAATTTCCCAGCCAGCAAAATCATCGTAAACAAGCTCGTAATTGGATATTTTCTCGAAGAAAAACCGGATTAAAAATCGTTTATGATAGCCGTTTACGACTCTTTTTCGAACACTTTTTCGCTTTAAATTGTGCATCGCCTACGAACAGTCGTAAACGGATCGAAAAAGCATTCGTATGCGAATCTTTTTACGTCCGTTTTTTAATTGTAAACGAGTCTCGTAAACGATTAATTTACGTTAAAAAAGCGTTTTTTACACTGCTTTATCTACTGTTTTTGAATGCTAAAAATAAAGGCAATTAATAAATTCAAATTATTGTAGTTATTTTATTGAATGGTATTATAATTAATAAATATTTATAGTACCGGATCGAAGTATTGGCACAGAGAATTTTTCGCAATGCGTGCAAAGTTTTTTACTTGAATTTCTTTTCGCACATTTTTTTTTTTAATAAACCTCCTGTTTTTGAATTGACTTTTCTTGAAATAGATTTTACCCAATCTGGCACGCAAAAATTTCATACACGCAGCGAAGCGGGTGAGGGCGATCTAGTATTCCATAAAAGTGGAAGCATTCAAACGTAAATTTTTTTTTTCTTTCATCTTTCAACATAGATAAATAAAAAACTAGAGCTTCTTAAAAAAATGGCCTCAAACAGTTCGACGCAGAATTTAATTATCTTTCGTTTTTAAAAAAGAAACTTGAAATCGGTGCATATTTGGGCTCTCAAAATTAATTTGTCCACGACAACCTTCTTTGCCCCACTGTGTGACGTTCGGCTCAGTCCTACCTACCGTGTCATTAATTGGCTGCTGAAAATAAGTAAAAATAATTAAAAAATTTAGTAAAACTAATATATTTAAAAAAATACTTCATCAATATCCATTTTTTTCAAAATTGTCGTATTCTCTACTAATTGTTTGAAGTCAATGAGTGTCATTCGATTGCTCGACTTGCTTTTCATAACAGCGTTTTTCACTCGCTTGACTTGATTTGGAAAGAGTATGTCAATGCGATATTTGAAATCAAATGAGTACACTGCAGCTAAACATTGATTTCAAAACTAACTATGAATCTCACTGTTCGTACGGTGTTTCTCACTACCCGAATACAGTTCACAGCAATGAGTTCATACTATTTAGATGGAAGTGAGTATACTCATGCTGTTGCTAGATACGAAGCTGATATGGGAAACTGACGTCGATCCTAAGGTAAATCGAGCGCTGAAAGTTTTGGACAATGTCGGAGAACCATCGTGAAAACCACGGTTTCCGTATTATGTGTTTGCTCCTTTGTAAGGACCGGCTCTTAATGCTTTCTTGGTTGTGCCACCTTTGGATTCATCTATGAAAACGATGTGTCGACTACTCTCTTTTGGTTTGTGGCGCGACGTTCGGAGTTCCCGGCACATGGAGTTGTTCAGAAGGTTATCAGGGTATTTCCATTGTTTTCGGCAGCTAATGACAAACTGATACCTGCAGTCTCTTTTAGAAAAAAGTATGCCGTTAGATTTCCTACCAGGAAACATTGGAGAGATCCAGACACTCTCTTCTGAAGCTCGGTGAAAACTTTCTATACCGACGGCTCAAAGGCTGAAAATGGTGCTGGAACTGGATTGCATCAGGACGATAACTTCAGATGCCTTACAGTGCTGGGGCAATGGCAACGGTCTTTCCATCGGAAGTCTTTGCAATACTGAAAGTAGCAGACTGGATAGTTGATGAAAGGAGGCCATAAAATCAGAATCTGCAGCGACACCAAGCCGGCATTGTAAACCGCTTCTAGAAAGATATTTCAGGTATATAAGTTGGAGCTAAACTCCGTTACAATGTGGAGTGAGCTTGAACTTGTTTGAGTGCCACGGCACTACGGTGTTCAAGGCAAAGAACTGGCTGATGAATTGGCAACTGTGGTTCTCTGGTGCGTCCAATTGAACCACAGCCAATTTTAGGGCCAAGCATAGCAGAAACGATAGGGTGCATCAAGGATCTCATAAAAAAACTCATG